TAACAGAGGTCAGTCCCCTGCAAAGGGTCAAAAGATAAATCTGACTTCACGTTGGGATGTGTTAAGAAGTAAAAATGTACTCTATAGTAATTTATCTTAAATTTAAGATTAAAGGATGGTCTTAAAATGTATATTATGCAGTAAATAATACATTATTTGCTAATGCAATGTTAAAGAACATGAAGTAAAATATTTATTCCCAAGTCAAGTACCCAAGTGCAGTACTCTAGTGCAGTACTCTAGTGAATGCCACTTAAATTTAAGCAGGAAATTTCCAGAATTTTCATCTTAAAAATATTTTCTGTGTCTGTGGTCAATTCTTCAAAAACACCCCTAGAGGGCAGTAATGCTTTTCCCTGTCACGGAACAAACAGGATTCCACAAGAAACTGAACTGAACGTCTCCCAGCATATTTAAATCCTCATCTCACCTCAAACGTAAAAACACAGTGACCGTGTCAGTGAGCTGGAGAAGAACCGTTAAAGAGTCACTGCAGTTCCTCAGGTGAAACCAGGCCGGGAGGTAATGAGTGTAAAAGAGGAGTAACTGGGTGTGGTCCTGGACCAGCCCTGTAGGATTAGTCCCACAGGGCTCGTCTCCTCATTACAAGCTGATAAGTGCGGTGCAAGCCTGTGTGTCTGCTCATCCGTGCTCCTGTGGGCATGCTACCCTCTGACAAACAACACTCTCTCACTCCTCCCTGACGACGACGAGGACGACGCTGTGGCAGCCACCTGCAGCAGGCCTGTGTTCCCTGCCGCCGGTGAGCTGCCTCACCCTGCCTCTCTCGCTGCTCGCCCTGGTTTCAGCAGAGCGAGCTGCAGAATGCTGCAACTGCATCAACAGAAAGAATAATGACTACAGCAGAGACGTGGCCACGGCACCAAGGCCCCGAGTGTTCCCGCTCGCTGTGCAGAGCTGTAGTTAAACCAAGAGCGGACTAAAGATAGCAGACAGCCGCCGTCATGTCTTGTGCCAACTCTTAAAATCTTGCTCTCAGGTGCAGACGTATATTTGTCATCTTTATCCTATAGGTATATTTATCTACCTGCAGCAGAATTTATGGATCTTTATTTTTATGGATCTTAACATCAAGATCCATGAATTACTCTCTGAGAAATCAGGGGAAATGTTGAATCTCGCAATAAAGTGAAAAAACAAATCCTGCATCCACACAAAAATGTAAAGGGTTCATCCCTGACCCGTACTGCATCCTTCCACCAGGATTCACCACCGAGAGCCACTCTGGAGTTCATGTGCTCCCTGCTAACTCACAAACAGACGGAAACACAACCTGGGGTAAATATGTCTGATATTTCTGAGTGTGGCTTGTAACACGTGGACATCAGGCCTGTAGTGACACCCTCAACTTGCCAGTGAAGATTTTTCCTTTCTCCTCCTCTGCTCACGTTCCTCCTCCTCCTCCTCCTCCTCCTCTTATCTTTCACCAACAAAAAGGCTATTAATAGATCACCCTGCTCTCTCTTTTAAACTGCAGGGAGCATATACCGTGCACTTAAAGGGAAGGAGAAGAAGCTTGAGATACCAGGAGGCGTTTGAAAATGTCCTCCACACTGCCCGAGGCTACAAAGACGCTGGGTGTCCTAAGAATAACAACAAAGAGGCCTTTGATCGATTGAAGGCATTTTGCATCAGCGCAGACACCTCCTCGGCTAAATTTAGCTCCTTATCATTTGCAGACTAAATCCCTGGAGAAGTATTTTATGTGTTGGAGGGAGAAATGGATGGATAAACATTTGAAAACACCTCTCCTCCACTTTTTCCTGTTGTTAGTGCTTCTTCCATATTAAATGAAACGCAGTGAATCAGAATGAAAGACGTGTCACACAATAAACACACAAAACCACTTCAGTTCAGTTATTATTGGCTTCATTATTACTTTGTCAGGGTTATCATCATTGCGGAGGATAATATGCATTTTTAATTTCACATGTTCTTTCTTATGTCCATAGATTGTCCTTTTTGTCTCGTAAAGTGCAGATAATACTACGTTGTTAAAATCCAGACTTCACATACAGTATATAGTACATGGTTTTTTTCTCCATCATCCATTGGTTGTTATTTACATTATTCTCTCACATTTCATTTCATAGAAAGAAAATCCATTATCCACTAACGTCGATGGATGTTTTCAGGCCTCGATGATATGGGGGGGGGGAAGCAGAGGGCGGAGTGAGGAGAATAAACTGTACATTTTGTTTCAGTGGATGCCACACTTTCAGGCTCTGGGGTCAAATGAACCAAAAAATAAAATTATACATGTCATTTCTCAGACACACATGCGTACAGATTGCATATTGATCATCTTGTTTCCCATATGAATGAGTTTTTCCTCCCCCCTCTCTTTCGTGTCAGAGCCTTGTGTCATTGAGCTGCCGCCGCAGTTCAAACAAAACCTGAAAGTTCAGAAAGCTTGTGTTCACATTCGGCTAACGTATTGAGCGTTTGACTTACAGCAGCAGGATATTGCAAAGTGTTGCACTTCTGCTTCGAGGTTTTGTTTCAAATACTCTGGCAGCTCTCAGAATCAACACAGAACTTTAGTGCCAGATAAAACACACGCAAAAAAAGTCTGTACTTAAACTTTCTGTCCTTCAAAAAAAAAAAACAATAACTACCAGCTAGTAATCGTTCTCTGCATAGATTTCTCAGTGTATTCACTGTTGGGCACCCTTCTCATGGAGTGGATTTTGCTGGTGGGTCCCTCAGCAGATGAGAGATGATATTTTTAGAGGCGGTGGCGCTCCCTAATAAAGCAACACTACACCATCTTTTAAATTGACTTTGTTTCCGCTGAATAAAAACATTGTAGAGGTTAAATCTGCAGCCATACAGATGTGGATGATCCCACTCGTCTTTGTGCTTTAAGCAGAAATTGTGTCGATGAGTTGCTACAGTGAATTTGGCTGAGGTACAGTGATGTGCCCGATTAAAAAAGAAAACAGATAAAGTGTGAAAAACGTAACATTCATCATGATTATATGTTTGAATCAATTGAGTGAAGACAATAAGATAAAATGCATTTTCATGCATAGACAAATATTTTTGGTCAAACTATGACTTTTTCCTGCATAAATGCAGCTGTTCAACCAACACACAGACATTCAGTGGTTCTCTCTCCCTCACACAGTCACACACAGACACACGCTGCCACTCATGTATGATCGATAACATCTTGGTTGGACTGTGTAGGTCCAGTAACATTTTTTTCTTCTTTACATTAAACATCCATGTTCTCCACACAGTCCTCTCCACCAGAAGGATTACAGGAATATTGCTAAACGACTATTTAATCAGATTTTACCTCGAGTTACTGATTTCCACATGTCAATCCACCTCAATGCTTCTCCTCTTGATAACGAGACAACTATCAAATAAATGTCTCTTAAAAAAAAAAAAAAAAATCCTTTCAGGAAAACAACATTTGAACAGAGACGACTTCAGAAGCTTGACGTCAGGCAGGTCAACGAGGCGTCCTGAGCACACACTGGCAGCGATGGCGTAAAAAAACATCTCAGCTACTGCAGGTTAGAGACTGTAGCGAGCAGAATGAGACCCTAAGAATAAAGATGTACGTCCTGGCATGACGGGATTCATTTAGACAGCTCTTGCTACAGAAGTCCTCCTAATCCATCACCTTTCTAATTACCTATGACGTCCACGGAAAGATGGAGAAAGGCAGGACACTCGGAGGATCCCTGTAGTTAAGCCAATAACTGCTACACACTGCTGCTAATTATCACTTCCCATATCGATGTTACTGCCTTTAACTGTCACCTTGGCTGTGTGGAGCAAGCGGTGGAAAATCTCAGCTGGACGCGGTCCTAGAGTCCGGAGCTAATTCACGTTCTGATGCCAACTTTTGAAGACAGATTGAGCTTCTGGCGTCAGAGGCTCCTCAGAGGACGGGCAGACTCTGATGTGATGATACAGTCCTGTCTTTCAACAACTACTTCACAGACGGCAGCTTGGAACTTTTTTTAAGCAAAGCTCTATTGTTTTTATCCAGTTGGTTTCAGGTTTGGTGAAAAATCCAACAGCAAAGAAAATGCTTTTTGAGATGTTTTGAGTTTCTGAACAGGTTCTGAAACAGAAGAACGTGAAACAGTCCTCAGAACCATTCAAAAATTAAAAACGCATTGTGGAAGGCTCTCATTTTCCTTTAAACACTGTTATTCTAAGTTTCTTTTAATTCTGTAATAAAAGTATATGCGTACTGTATGTGTTCTGTTTGTATACATATATTTTTATATATTCATATATTTATATATAAATAAGAAATAACTATATCATTATCATTGTACTTTTTTAGTCTCGGAGGCTTCTTCTTTCATCTTAAATGCATGCTTCTAGGAATGTTTTTGAGGTCATGCAACACTAGAATAGCGTAAACCCAGATAAAAAGGCAGTTCAGGGGAAGCATTATTCTATACACGAGTCCAGAAAAGTTCCTATTTTGATCATGAGGACGTGTCCGTGTGACAAACCTGTGAAAAAAGACGCCGCTGCAAGTTTACCACGAATGGGATCGATGTCCCAAACTAGAGTGTGAGCTTTTTACGCCTGAAATCTCATCTCAGCTCAGCGGCAGCGAAAGTTGAACAGCAATGACGTCTACGTGGAATGTAAATATTGACGAGGCTTTCTCATCCTATTACGTGTAGGATGTGGCCTCATGATGATTCCTTAAGAAATCCTCTAACATACAACTTAAGGTTTTTCGAAAACAGCTACCGGCAGGCATACTTTTTAAACCGTGGATTTATATAGAAGGCAGTGTACAGACAAATATACAGTCGTGTAATGAAGCAAGTGGCAGTCGAGAAACAAGTGGAAGTTCTCATTCAGATTAAAAAATGTCATGCAATTATCTACTTACTAACGTTTACTACAGCACCTACCTACCTAGCAGCTATCGGTTTAGTCACAGTTATCCTACCTACCTATGAATAAGTGCTTTGTGTGTCAAACTGTGAAAATCAAACAAATTTAAAAAAAACACGAAGAGACATTCAAGCTGTCCTCAAAGCTCTGCAGTAAGACCAGTTTGGGTGAATGGAGGGGCAGGGGGAGCTTGCATTGTAATACGTACAGTACATGTAAGACCAAAGCAGTGAAAAGTCAAGGCCATTCTCAGTCATTCATCAGATACTGATGTCTACTGGGAAAAAAGGTGTCGAACCATAAGCGTAGCGCTAATGGCTGTCATTCATCCTTGAAACAACGTGGTGTACTTAACCACCAACCTCATCACAAGTCACCCACAGGCCAGATCGGCGCTGGAGTGAGCTTGCTTTATGCTCATACGTCCTCTTATCTCTAGAACGATGTAGCATAAGACAGTTTTTTTTTTCATTGGCTCCAGGAAGCAGCAAATGTAGCGCGCGAGTAGGGCTCTTCAGATATCGCAGGGCGGAGCAATGTGCCTTGGGAAATGAGGAAGCAGGGGAGCGGGGACTGAAGCAGGCTGTGTGTTGTGTTGCTTTTTTTTAAGCAATAATATATTTTTATCTTGCAGTTTTTCTACCTTTGTCTTTTCTGTTTGTGCACTACTGTTGGCTACTGTAGTGAGCAGGACACTTTTAGGCCCTTTTTTCTTTTCTTTTTTTAGACGGCCACACAGATGAAGCCAGATCCATGCAGAAATACAAAATTTGAGACTTCGCTCTCTTAGACGGTAATCAGGAGTTTTAAGGGGCAAGTTGTGGGGAGGGACGACAGGATGAGCGCAGGGTGAGCTAATGGTCTATGTCATATTTTTCACTGTCTATCATAATCAGCATTATCATCAACATCCTGAATTCTATTGCCTTGATTTTTCCAGCACACATGAGGTGGGAGGCTGTACACCTGTCCCAGCTGCTCAGCTCCAAAGTTCCCGCTGTGACGTGGAGGACAACAGCTGACGATTACACGTCTGTGAGCATCTTGGTGATGTTTACATAGTTTGTGTTGGCCAGGGTGCAGTTGGCTGTCTTGAGGTTCTCCTCCTGAAAGTCTTCGTTGCTGTTGTTCACAGCCTCCTGAATCTCCATATAGTCCGACTTGCTCATGGTGGAGCCGCTGCGACTCTTCTTCAGCTCCTCCGCTGAATCGGTCTTGGGCACGTTGACCTGTAGGTACTGCGCCTGTTCTTCACCCTCAGTCTCACGATGATAGAAGTAGTTGAAGTTGGAGACGATGACAGGCACTGGCAAGGCAATGGTCAGCACACCAGCGATGGCGCAGAGAGAGCCCACAATCTTTCCACCAATGGTAGTTGGGACCATATCACCATAGCCGACTGTTGTCATGGACACCACAGCCCACCAAAACGCATCTGGGATGCTTTCGAACTGCGACTCGGGCTCATCCGCTTCAGCAAAGTAGACTGCACTGGAGAAAAGGATGACCCCTATGAAGAGGAAGAAGATGAGAAGGCCGAGCTCCCTCATGCTGGCTTTCAGGGTCTGACCCAAAATCTGAAGCCCCTTGGAGTGACGAGAGAGCTTGAAAATTCTGAAGACTCGTACTAAGCGGATGACCCTGAGAATGGCTAAAGACATGGCTTGCTGACCCCCTTGACCATCCTCCGGCCTGTCGGCTAGCTCTGTGCCGAGAGTGATGAAGTAAGGGATGATGGCAACAATATCAATGATGTTCATTATATTACCAAAAAAGCCTGCTTTGCTGGGGCAGGCGAAGAAGCGCACCAGGAACTCAAAGGAGAACCATATAATGCAAAGAGTCTCCAGGATGAAGAAGGGGTCAGTGAAGTAAGTGGATGTGTAGCTGATGATTGTGGTGTTTGTCTCAGGTGAAAAGACTGACGCGTGAGACTTGTGCATTTCATCCTCATCGTTGCGGAAAATGGGGAGGGTCTCCAAGCAGAAACTGACAATGGATATCAGGATGACCATGACAGAGATTATGGCAATAATCCTAGCAGGACCTGAGCTCTCTGGATACTCGAACAGCAGCCACACCTGTCTCTGAAACTCGTTGTCGGGAAGCGGCCGCTCTTCCTCCTTGATGAAACCCTCGTCTTCTCTGAAGATCTCGATGGCCTCGTCACCTAGCTCATAGAAGCGAATTTCCTCTGAGAAAATATCGAGGGTGACGTTAACCGGCCTTCTTAGCCGGCCCCCTGATTGGTAATAATACAATATGGCGTCAAAGCTGGGCCTGTTCCTGTCAAAAAAGTACTCGTTCCTCAGCGGGTCAAAGTACCGCATCCTCTTTTTGGGGTTCCCCAGCAGAGTCTCTGGGAACTGGGAGAGGGTTTTGAGTTGTGTCTCAAAGCGCAGCCCTGAGATGTTGATGACCACCCTCTCACAACACTCATGGTCAGCCTCCGGGTCGTAGTCCTGCGGGTGCCCCGGGTGTGCAGCCGCCTCGTCAGAGGGGTCGCCTGTGGCAACAGTCATTCTGCAGGGGGAGGAGGCCTGCACTTTTCAGAGGGTCTGGGTCCTGCAGCCTGGAGAACTGCAGGCAGGGGCCAGGAGAGGGAGGGGGCTCAACACCGTACAGACCTGACGGCCACAGGATGTCACCTAGGGTCTGACTGCATGTAGGACAGACAGAGCAAAGACAGACAACAAGGTCAGTTACACCGGAGACATGATTCAGCACTCAATGCTGCCGCCACTCAGCCCATCAGGACTTTGCTTTAGCTTGAAGATGAAACAGTTAAAAATAGATGAAAATGAAGCCCCGCTCTTCATCAAAGTTGGATTATTGTGAAAAGATAGTCGATACCAAAATGAATCAGCTCATGGAAACTTGAGACGATACTGATCGGACAAATTAAAATGCAAATAAGTGAATCTGCTTGCATATAAATGGCCTCAGTGCAGGTAAAGTCGGAGGCCAACTGGCACATAAAACGTAGACACTCATAAACGAGGGCACTGTTCTGCAGCAGTGGCTAAAATCCAATGAAATGAATGAGAATACCTTCATGCAGTGAAGCCATGCATAAATATATATCAATGCAGCAGCAGCAGATTCATACAGACAGCATCCTTTCTAGAATATCACCGATAACCCACTGCAGGTTCTCCACAAACGTACAAGACACTTTTAACATTTACTGCAGCGCCGAGCAAACACACACATATACCTCGCGTTAACTGTCTCCGGCTTAGTTTGGGGGTTGGAGCATTTTGGTCTTGAAATGGTGCCTGTCTCTGAAATATTCAGAAACATCTATAAATAATTTATCCACAGAAGGAAATAGGTTCGAGGAGAAAAAACTGTATCTCTGTTCTGCATCATCCTCCCCTCAGAGTGGGAGCAGTTTCTACAAGAGAAAAAAATCCCTCATGATGAACCATAAATCCAACACTATATAAGTCTGTGTTTAATGGTTATCATCATGGAGTCAAAAGAAGTGCAAATCACTGTAATTGCCTAAATGCCCCGACTAAAAAAAAAAAAAAATCACATTTAATGGAAACTAGAGATGAGATGATGGGTGAACACAAGCTGCTTCCTCCGTGTTTCATACATACCTGCTGACATCTTCTTCATGTGTGGATGAGTTTTGCTCCTGCTGGACTCAGGAAGGTGAAAAACCAGCTGCGACAACCAGGTCTTCTGACTTCATGCAGAGAAGCGATTTTGAAAGAGAAATAATGAATTTTCCATCATGGGAGAGTCGCTGATATTCACCTCATGTTGTCTGCAGCATCCTCGCCGTGCACACCGGGTACTGTATGTGCGGGTGTGTCCTCGCTTTCCCCCTCCCCGACTCCTCTTTCCTCCGGGCAGGCAGGCAGGCAGCCGTGGGATGGCGATTGGCAAAAAAAAAAAAAAAAAAAAAGAAAGGAGGGAGGAGGGAGGGAGGGAGGGAAGCGATCGAGGAGCTGCTGGTGCTTCCCTTAACAGGCAAAGGTGCTGGGATCAGCAGAAAGATGCGCCTCCACTGTTCCACTGTGTCCGGGCTGCAGGGCAGACACCGCAAAGGTAATTCAGTCCTGATGCTGAGGTGCTCAACATCTGCAGAGGAGGGGAGGAAACACCGCGAGGCGAGGGGGTGGGACGGGGCTGAGAAAAAAAAATAAAACATCTAAATGTACCAAGATTTAATACAGAGACGAGATCTGGAGACATGAGCATCAACAATGAAGGGTGCATGCGTCACCGCGCCTGTTTACCAACACACCAGGAAACAACATCCAGACGTGATCCAGAGTCTGAGCTGCAGATACACGCGCTCACATGCAGTCCACACACACACACACACACACACACACACACACACAC